TTATGAGCAAGATTCCTGCACCCATCTGATATACATTCCAACGCTATTTGTTGTCTAGGTGAGTTTCGGAGTTTATCCAGGGTTCCGTGGCGGAATGTCTTGCGGAGAGAAAGGCGAAGAGTGGGGAGTAGTGGATCCTATGTTTGGTGTGGATACCGGCGAGTGCCAATAGGTGATCGTATTTAGATCTGCGTCAGTACTACTTCGAATCTTTCGGAAAATAAATTGTTCCGAATAATCTTATTCAAATCTGATCATCTGCAGTGCACTGCTGAGTTTGTATTATTGATCGACAGCATTCTTGCTCAACCTCGAGGCTCGAGCATGGCATGCTAATGCTGTTAAGCTTGAGCCAACCTTAAATCAAAGCTGCCAGTTCATCCAGCTGTTCCACCCTTGCCCACTTCGTCCCTTGGCATTGTCCATTTCTCTATCTTGCACATGATTATTCCATCTATAACTCACCTTCACGCTCTAGTGGTACGGTCAGCTACTACAGATGTGGAAGCGGGCAGTGCATCCTCATCGACTTCAGACTCGTGTAACGATATAAATGATTGCCGCACTCTACTTCAGATCGTCTGGAGTTGCATCAGTGTTCTCATCACCTGTACTTGGGTCTCGGTTCATCCAAACGTGCCCGGACCTGATGACAGCTCCTGGAAAGTGTTACGGCGCAAGATAGGGCTGATGATCATTGCTTTGATCGCGCCGGAAATGCTGGTTTTGTGGGCTGCTCGACAATGGTTTGCAGCAAGGAAGCTCTCAGAGCGTACGTATTTTGTGTAGACTTTTTTTGACTGCATTGCTTACCTTTCGAGATAGGGTATCCAGGATGGACGAGGACACATGCCTTCTTTGCTCTTATGGGAGGTTTTGCACTTTACGAGGGCAAAAAGTGTATTTCTGTTCTACGATTCATTCCTGACAATTATAGCTCTGCCAAGGTCCCTATTTGGGCACACTTTGAAAACTTGGAGCGCCGTACTGTCATCAACGACAATACTCCGTCCATTCATAGTGATAGCACACTGGTTCCGCTTACCGGGCATGCTAGTATGCCTTCCAGTGATGATCTTAAACAGCCTCCTGCTGCTGACAATGAAGTAGAATCTGAGGGCTGTCCCTCGGCCCCCTCCCACACTGACGTCGAACACGATAATCCTGTATCTAGTCATGACAACGATGATACTCTCGTGATCTCCGCTGATTCTAATCCCAAATCTGGCACTCAGACTGAGAGAGGGGAGCTGAAAGTCCCTCTTTTGGCCAGTTCCGATTTCGAGGGGCGGTACAACCAAACCCATACCACACCCACTCTATACACTGTTGGCAAGTTTGCCGAGTGTTATGCTACTAGATTTGATCGGCGGTCATTTGCAGCCCACCTTAATCTCATTGCTAGAATTCCAGAAGCCGAGATTAAGGACCGGAGTCACAGTGATGGTTTCTCCAAGCTGATCGCGGTCATGCAGACAACCTGGTTTGTGGTCCAGCTGCTTGCCAGATGGATCGAGGGCTTACCGGTCACGGAGCTTGAGGTCATGACTCTCGCTTTTGCAGCGATGAATGTCTTGATCTATTTCTTCTGGTGGGATAAGCCTCAGGGGGTGGGATGTCCTGTCCGCATTGTGCCGAAAAGTGTAGATGAAGATGTCGTAGACCCACTGGCAGGGGCTTCGGCCCAAAAAGATGGATGGGTAGCTATTGCATGGAGCTGGCTTCGAAACATCTTGGGAAGCATCTTCGAGATGGTCCGTGGATTCTCGCGTCAAACCTTCAAGGGCATGCTGCTTGATGTTCTCTCAATCCCATCAATAACCATAGAGTTTCTGATGGACTTTGTGAACACAATTGCCAGCGTGATCCTGGAGGACAATGCTAGTATTGGAGAATTCAAAATGGTGTCATCATTCGAGCGAACTACCAAGTTAGAACCAAAAAATGCACAGGATAAATTTATTGCTTATGGTGCAGCAGTTATGTTTGGTGCCATTCATTGTGCCGCCTGGACATCCAAGTTCCCCAGCCCTGCTGAGGAGGTATTGTGGAAGGTCTGCTCCCTTCTGGTGACTTGTGCCCCAATGTATCTGGCCTTGTGCAACATAATTTGGAATATATATCTCAATATGCCTGACTGGGTGGAGGGATGCCTTGTATTGGTCTACATAGGTACAATATTCTTTTACATTCTCGCCCGGCTTTCTCTCATTGTCCAGCCATTTGTGGCCTTGAGAGATTTGCCTTCAGGCATCTTCATAGCTGTTCAATGGACAAATTTCATCCCTCATATCTAGGTTCTAGTTTTGACTTCTACCGATCATTGCATGTTTCTACTTTTTTGTACTTTTTCTTCTTCTGTTCTTCTGCTCCAACAATACTCTAATTTGACTTTTTATCTTTATATGCTGCAGCACTAAGGAAAGTCCTTTTTCTGTTGTCCGAGTTCAGGTACATACTTTTCTGCGTCGGATAACGCGTGAGTTGTGATTGAGGGTACAGCTAACGAGATAGGGCTAGTTATGTATGAGGTAGAGTTTAAGAGGGCTCAGGAGCATTTTGACGCGTCGACGCGTTCACCTCGAAGTTCGACGTTCGCACGATTAGTTGAAAGGTCACGAGATTCATGATCGCGCCGTGACATTTTGTGACATCTCGTATTTCTCTCTCAAACTCTCCCATCATGTCGACCTCAGCAGCGGCCGGGGGATCCACAAAACAAGCGTCAGAAGCTGCAGCTGCAGCTGCGGCGATTGCGGCGAAAATTGCAGCCCAGTTTGCTTCAGGAGGAGGTGCAATGGCCGGAGGGCTGAACGATGCTGCTTTTACGCATGATATTGATATCAACGATGCGAGGAATAGGTATATGTTGTGTAAGAGTTCGACTCAGCAGGAGGTGTGTTCGATTTCTTTTTTTTCTATTTACAATGTGTTTTTTTTACTTGAGTTCTTGTTCTCGTTCACAGATTCAAGACGAAACCGGAGCCTCGATATCAACCAAAGGGACGTGGCATCCGAATCGATCCAAAGCTACGGAAAAAGACCCGCCGTTGTATTTGCATATTATGGCACCGTCGAAGGAGGTTCTTGATAAGGCGATAGCGAAAGTGCAGGAGTTGTTGGCGATTGATATGGGAAGCTTGGTGGAGGATAAGAAGGAGAGGGCGAGGAGGAAGTGGCCTGAGGAGAAGATGCCTGTTGGGTTGGAGAGTATTAGGAATTTTAATGTTAGGGCGAAGGTTGTTGGGCCTAGTGTGAGTTCTTTTTACGTCGGTTTTTTCTTACTATTGCTGTTTTTTTTTTCTTTGTGGTGTTGTGAATGATTAATTTTGTCTTTACAGGGATCGTTTGTCAAGTATATTCAACAAGAGACTGGGACCCGGGTGCAGATTAAGGGTGTTGGATCTGGTTTCGTTGAGCAGGAGACGGGGAAAGAGAGTGATGAGCCGTTGTATATTCATATAACGTGAGTTTCGTTTAAACATTTGTTTCGTTCTCGTCCTCCCCAGCTTCCTTCATACCTTTTTTCATCGGCGTACGCGTTGTTTACTTGGTTGTCTTTCGTTTTACTGGTTTTCCGAACGCTCAAATTCCTTTTCTAGCGGACCCGAAGAATCTCAAGTGGCACGAGCAAAAGTACTAACCGACGACCTCCTCCTTGTCGTCCGTGCAGAACACGCAAAATCTCAAACTCTCCTCCAGGCGCAGCAAATGGAGCTTCATCAAGTTTGTACTTTTAACCGTTTTATTTTTCTTCGTATACTAACTACATACACTCTGCCCCATCGTTCCTAGGCTCAACAACAATACGCTGCATACGCGGCTCAGTATACAGGAGGGTATGGGGGAGCGCCGGGGACGCCTGCGGGTGGATATGGGAATGGGTATCCTGCGCCTCCGCCGCCTGGAGATGCGCCGCCTCCGCCTCCAGGTGATGGTCAAGCGCCACCTCCGCCTCCTCAGGGTGCGGATGCCTCTGGTGCGGGTGCGGGGTCTGCGGAGCAGTATGCTGCGTATTGGTGAGTTTTTTTCGTTGTTGTGTTGTTGTTGTTCATTTGCTTCTTTAATACCTGAAAATGAACGGCGACTTACTAGCTTGTTTCTCTCGGTCTATAGGGCTGCATATGGGTACGATGTCAACTCGGCTGAGTTTAAGGCGTGGGCTGCGGAGCAGGCTAAACAGGCTGAGCAGTATTATGCTCAAGCGGGAGCTGCTGCTGGGGGGGCGGGAGGAGCGCCTGGGGCAGCAGGTGCGGGGTACGCTGGGTTTGGAGCTGCGGTGGGTGGTGGGGGGTCTGCGCCTCCTCCGCCTCCTCCTGGTGCGGATGGATTAGCTGGGGCTGGGGCTGGGGGAGGAGCGGTGCCTCCGCCACCTCCTCCGCCTGATGCGCAGGCGCCTCCGCCGCCGCCGCCGCCTGCGTGAAATTGGAAATTGGAATTCTAGGGATTTGAGTTGGATGGGCGGTGAATGAGAGTGAGTGATGTTGAGGTTTGGTGGTGAGGAATGCAATGAGGCAGGGCGGGGCAGGGCATGGGCGGTGGGTTTGGGGAAAGGATCGGATAGATGTGAGATGTAATGCGATGTGGGAGATGAATGGGATTATTCAAAAAATGGAGGATGTTTTGTTGGACGTTGGGTGTTGGGTTTTGGGCGTTTTGGTTTGATGGGACGGTGAAGGATGGGAGTGATACGTGATACCGTTTACGTGAAACTTGATAATGGTGATTGATTTGATTGATTGAGCGGTTGATAGGAGGTAGGGGTGGTGTTAGAGTACGGTGTACGGTGTACATAGTATAGTGTAGTATGTGTTTGCATTCAGGAGGGTTGATTTTTTTCGTAAGTCTGTCTAAGTGTGTATGAGGTTGAGGAACTTGTATTGGATGGTTGAGGTATAAAGAGAGACTTGTCCGAAAAACCGATGTGTGTAGTTCTTTTTTTTTTTTTTTTTCCAAAGCGTACAGGGAAAGAAAAAAAAAACATTCAAAGACAATAAAATGGGGTGCACCCGGGATTGAACCGGGGACCTCCTGCAGCGGTAGGGCGTAACTAAATGACCCACTTACCCAAAGCAGGAATCATACCTCTAGACCATGCACCCGCGTGTGTAAAGTTGGGAGGAGCGGGGTGTTTAGGGGCTCTGATGTCTCTGGTGCGTCTATCGACATACCGCTTCGAGCTTTTCCGGTTCTTCCACTGCCTCGGCTTGATGGGCGGACGCCGCCGCTGTGCCTGCTTGTCTGGATTTGAAGGGTTAGGGGTTTAAGGGGGAGGGAGATAGGGTGGGGGTGGGACGGGGTTTGGGTTGAGTTTAGTGGATGGGTGGTGAGCGAGCGGAGTGGGATGAACATTTTTGGAAGAGGCAGTGGGATTGGGGCAAGGATCGGATAGATGTGAGGGTACATCGTATGGAAGATGCTATGGGGTCGTTTCAAGAGGACTTTCATGTACACTGCCATCCAGGTTACACACCGATGCGTTGATGTGTTTGATTGAGCCTGATTTAGGGAGTGGTGTGTTTGCTTTACCCTGGAGTTGGCGTGCAGTTGTGGTGTGGTTTGGGTTTGGAGTTTGGGTTTGCTATTCTCTATTGAACTTTTATGGTTGAGGTAGAGCGTACTGTTTGAGAGAAAAGGAAAAAGCAAAGCTCAATTACCACAACGTTATGGGGTGCACCCGGGATTGAACCGGGGACCTCCTGCAAAGGATTCTACGTCATTCGCGAGCGACCCAAAGCAGGAATCATACCTCTAGACCATGCACCCGTACTTACAATTTCCACGTTCCCAAATCATATAATGTTCATAATTAATTTTAATTCGATGACTAAATACCTGACGACGCCCGAAACTCAATCGATTAGGCACTGGACCACCTGGGATTTCTGAATTCTTAATTCTGGCAGCGTGCGTTTCGGCGCTGTCTTGTCACGATCTCTGAAACCATCGTATTGAAAAAACAAATCAAACAGGACATATACGGTATGTACAGAAAACGGACGGACGGACAAGTACCGTGATCTGATTCTATTTACTGTTTTCTGTTTCTCTTCTCTCTCTTACACACGCCGTGATTCATTGGTCCCATCGTTCATCGACGTCAGACTCGACGACGATCTCTCTCACGACTGGATATACTATTCCTAAAAAGTACGAGTTACGACTACGCAAGACTCGACTGGAACGACGGGAACGAACCGGGTAGATTTCGAATTGGAAACTTGAAGGGTGCACGACGCACGTTGCAATTGGTTGGTTTAGGGGAGATTTTTTGTTGAGTATTTGTTGATTGGATACACCAAGGAAAAAGAGAGGGTGTTGGGTACGTTGCAGTTGAGCTTTTGAGTACTTTTTTCTTTCTTAGGTGTTTATATTTAGAAGGCACACACACGCAGTTAAACCATGCCAGAATACAGCGACGGCTACGCAGAATACGCAGCTTACGCTGCAGCCTACCCAGACGAGATCTCTCCAGATGGGCCTACACCTGAATATACACCGAAACAATCCCCTCCTCCTCCCCCTCCCCCTTTACCTCCAGGTGCTGCTTTACCCCCACCACCGCCCCCACCACTGCCGACTCATTCCTCATCCTCGTCGTCTTCTATACCCAGTCATTATTCCACTTCGTATACCCCCGCTAACAACCATCCTAACACTAGTGGTCCACCCTCATCGGCGGTGCCCACGACGTCCAACGCTGCGGCGGGAGAGCAGGATCTAGAAGTCTTATTCGACAAAGTATGGAACGGGTACGGTGCGGGAGGGCTCAATCATGTCGTTTCTCCTTCTACCGAAGTCAACGCGAATGGGTATGGTAAAGACACCAACACCACCAACACCAACAATAACTACAACAACCCCAGTCCGACGAGTACCCGCAGCGGGAGGGGGAACGATTCGTTTATTAGCGCTACTACACCTTCGTCTACAATGGGTTCTAGTGTCCCGAGTCGTAATACGTCTTACACGGCGTCGTCCATCGCGAGGAGTAATACCACCACTTCTTCCACGTCCTCGTCTTCGTCCTCCGTTACATCCCCCGCCTCAGCAGTAGGAACGAATCTACACATGTCCATGTCCGTACCTCCCCCTCCTCCACTACCCATATCCGATTACCCACCCCCTCCGACACCTTCGACACCCCAACAACAACAACAGCAGCAGCAGCAGCAGCGGCCCCCCGCGAGTGCAGGCATCCGAGGGAGCAGACCCCTCCCTCAACCCCCAGGTTCCGCAACCCCTGCGTCTGCGGTCGTGCGGATGAGCACGTCTTCGGTTAGTTTAGGTACGAGTGGGAGGAACACCCCGATGTTGGATTCGCCTGTGAGTGTGAGGGGGAGGCAGTTGCCTGTTGCTCCGACGGCTAGTTCCGGCGGCGGCGGGGGAGGGGGAGCAATGTCCCCTGTATCCTCGATCAACTCCCCAAGCGCGTATTTCGACTCGCATTACCATCCGTATCATCATCCCGCGCAGTCGTCGCCCATGTCGGCTGCGCCTAGTTCGGCGGGGTTGGGGCCTTTGGGGATGGGTGGGATGGGTGGGTTTGGGTTCGGACCCGGTTCGGGTTTTGGTTCGGATGGGTATTGGGAGGAGGATTCGTTAGGGGGAACGGGGACTTCGTATGCTTCTCCGACGTCGTATAACCCTTCTTCGTCGTCTGCGTTTCCTATTTCTAATACCAACTCTAACACTCCTACGAATACCAATTACCCCGGTAACCCCTCAAACCTCAACCCCAACACAAATTCATACTACTCCTCCTCCGATCCCAATAATCCCAATAACCCCAATAACCTAAACAACACCAACACCAACTCGTATTACGACGAATACGAATACTACGACGAAGACGACGCGAGTTCGTACGATGATCCTTCGCGATTTGTTAATTTTTCGCTGTTGAGTCATATTGCGGTGCAGTTGAAGGATAAGGTGCCGAGGGGGACGCATGTTAAGGGGAGTATTCCGTATCCGGGGGCGTTTACGGGGAAGGATGTCGTGGTGAGTGTTTGGGTTTTTTTTTTGGGTTTTGATTTTGGTTTGGAGGGGGTGGGTTGGGTTTGGGGGGTTTTTTTTTTGGGGGGGGGTTGGTTCTGGGGATAGACGAGATACTAACGGAAAACATTTTTTTTCTTCTTTTCTTCTGGGTTCTTTTTCGGGAAAAATCCTCAATCAATGTTAATAGTCAACGATACAATCATTGATTCAGAGAGAGTTGGCGATTAATCATGGGGTGTCGACGTCTGATCGGAGGGCTGCGTTGCAGGTATGTTTGTGGTTTTTGGTTTTTTTTGGTTTTTTGTGGTGTGATAGTTGTGCGATGGTTGCTGATTAACACCTCCCTTCTCCTCCTTCCCTCCACTCCTCCTCCCTCCGTTTCCCCTCCTTCCCCTCCCCCCTCCCCCCTTCCTTTGCTGCGAACAGGTCGCCCGCTCCCTCCAATCCCAACTCTTTTTCTACGAAGTCGAATGGGGAGGCCGAGTCCTCCAAGATGGAGTGGAGGATGTGTATATGTTTTTGGATGATTTGGATGGTGGTGGTGGGGGTATGTGTTTTTGTTGCGTTTTGCGTTTTGCGTTTAGCTCATTATTCATCGAACGAAAATCCTATTGCCCATCGAACATCCTATTGCCCATCAAAAAATCCTATCGCTCATTGAAAAATCCTCACACCTCCCCGACAGGCTCCTCATCCCAACAACCCTCCTCAACGTCCTCGCCCACGACCAATGCGTTCACGGAGCTCCCTACGGGTGTGGTGACCGCCTTGACAAAGTGTTATTCTCCGGATTGTGTCGAGGGATCGGCGTGTTATAGTCCGAGGTGTCCTAGGAAGGTGAGTTGGGGTTTTTTTGGTTTGATTTTTTTTTTGGTTTTTGGTTTTGTTGTCCTTGAGAGGAGGGAGATGCGAGGGGAGGGTTGAGGGGCGAAAGGATGTGGTCAAGGTATGGTATAGGTGAAAAGAGAAGAGAGGGTGAAGAATGGCTGGGTGGTTTTTGGCCGTGCCTTGTTGGTTGGTTGGTATGGGTATGGGTATGTGTATAGGCGGCGGGACAAAGTGGGCGGTACGGGGTTGCTGGGATTGTTGGGCTTGCTGTGCGCTGTTGGGAAGGGGACTCCCTTGTTCGTGGATGTGTCCTTGGTAGCGCCCCGGCGGTTGCTTGGTGCCTTACCCTGTTCGTTGGTTCGGAGTATGGTATACAGTGATTGGGACCTGATTTGACCTGATCTGCTGTGCTCATGGTGTCATTGTGTATCGTCTCGGATTGCGTGGTTTTCTCTCCGTACCTTGCCTACCGCTGTGTACTGGCGTGACCCGTTCTTTCTCACCACCTTACCTTACTGTAACACTCTGACTGACTGACAATTCCCACCTTGCGCAGGGCGATTCGATCCTCGGTCCTACCCCCGGGGGCTCCTCATTCACCCGCTCGACCTCGGCCGTCGCATCGTCCATTTCGGATCCTACCGCGGTGGGATCCTCGAGGTCGGGGTATGCGAGGGAGAGGGGGGAAGAGTGGATTAAGAGTGTGCCGAAGGAGGTGTTGGATAGTTTACCGGAGAGTGAGGTGAATCGACAGACGTGAGTTTTTGGGTTTTGGTTATGGTTTTGGGTTTGGGTTTGGGGATGAGCTGATTGATTTTTTGCTTTTGCTTCCGTTCATCTTCCCTTCATTTGCACACCCTTCATTTTACCTTCCTTCCTGTCCTCTCCCCCTCGTACATCTCCGCTCCCCCTCTACCCATCTCCGCAGAATCATCCACAAACTCATCTCAAAAGAAGAACAATACCTCGCCGATCTGGACATCATCGAGACCGTGTTCATCCGTCCGCTAAAAGAATCCAATCCACCCCTCATCAAAGCTCGGAACTTGTCCACTGCCAACGCGAATGGAGCCAATGGTTTGAATGGGAATGGGAATGGGGCGAACGGGACGAATGCGTATGGGGTTAATGGGAGTGGGATCAATGGGAATGGGAATACGATGAATGGGAACGGGAATGGGCCTGTTTCTTTGACGACGCCTGTTTCTGGAGGTCCGAGTGGGAGTGGGCAGTTTGGGTTTGGGTTTGGGTATGCAGGGGGTGCGGGTGCAGGTGGAGCCAATGGGTTTGGTGGAGTCAATGGGGTGTATGGTACTGGGGTTAATGGTGTGGAAGAAGGAGGGGGAATGGCGGAGGATAGAGATGCGTTGTTTCAGTTTGTTGATGTGGTGTTTAATAACATTCTGGACCTCCGCGAGACGAATCGGCGGTTGCTGGAGATTTTGTATGTGAGGCAACGGGAGCAGGTGGGTATATTCTCTTGTTGTGTTCATCCGATGCTCTTCTAAAGGCACATAACCACTGTAGTTTCCTATCATCCAACGTATAGGGGATATCTTCCTTGAAGCGGCCACGGAGTTGTTTAGGGTGTGTTATCCAACGTATATTGGGGGTTGGCCGCAGGCGGAGAAGAGGTTGAGGGAGGAGATGGAGGTTAATGGGGAGTTTAGGATTTGGGTTGAGGTGAGGTTTTTTTCTTGGATAAATGCTCTTCTCGTTGGTGTCGTACTTGATTACTGACGTACCCTTACTCTATCTTTCCTCATTCTCCACGCCCTACCCACACCCTATTTTTACCCACTCTCACTCTCGCTCCCATTCTTGTGAACGGGAACGGGAACGTTCACCGCCCACAGCAAGCTGCACGCCAAGCGCAACAACTCACGTCGTCCTCCAATGCCATCGGCGCCCCTCCCCTTTCGTCCACATCGAGCGGA